GGTAAGGAAAGCATCAGATGAGCTACCTGAGAAACTAACGCTACGTTTCCCCACTTTAAAACCAAACAAACATGGTCGCTCACCCTGCTGATCAGCGCTCTTCACTGCCATCGAAGGCTCCATCGTGTTTCCTTTTCAGGTGCTGCATCATGATTTGACCCTTCTCAAACAAACTAACATCTTTTCCATGACCACAGGATGTGTCTTTCAACATGCTTGTTTAGGAAATGAGAAGCAAGTCATTGCACCAGTTGAGGTTAAATGACTTGTTGCCAGCTGAAAGATACCGTAATCGCCCATGCATTAATTATCCAATAGGAGGCTCGTACCTATTTGCTTAGTTGAGTCCAAATGGCAACTTTTTTTTTTGGCCAGGCAGTGTAGTTTTGATCATTATTCAGTTGTTTATCTAAATGCATAAAATCGAAACGACTGAAACAGGGTTTCTGTGAGTCCTTAAAAATAATTTAAAGCTATTACATTATTCTTTTTTTAATTAAGACTTTAATTAGCATTAGAATTCATTAAATGTGATTTTTGTGGCATTTAAAATTCTTTATTAAAAACAAAAAATAAAAAAGGTTTATAAAAACAATTTCGTCAGATATATTATATCGCAATATATCTGGGCGGAACTGCTTCCAGTTGATTGAAAAGCCTATTATTCGGAAAAAAAGATCGAGGCGGAGAGAAAGCTAGAGAATGGGAAAATGCAAATTTTGACAGAAGTGGCTGGAAAATGAGGAATTCAGGACATGACAGCAGCCTGTCGACGGTAAAGGTGACGAAGGATCTTGCTGTGTTTATATGTATATATAATCAGTCAGTCATGGGTACTTGTTGAAGGCATTAAACGTTTTTCTAAGAGCATTAAAAGAGCGTAAAAACCATTAAATTAGAGTTACTCATTCCTGGATAAACCATGTGAAAACGGGTGGAGATTTTTTTTTTCTTTTTGATGGAAAGTTGACAGCTTCACTGGATTAGAGACTTTTCCTTTTTAATTTTTTTGTTGTTTAATTTAGTATTTTTTGTGTTAGAATAAAACCCATAACAGATCGACGGGCCTTTAAACAAACAACCCGCCCCCTTTATTTCAGACTGCTGTGGAAAAAGTTCTATACGAGTTGCTCATGAGCAGAAAGGTAGGATGTAGGTTGACTCTGCCTGCAGTATGAACACAACCCAAGTCTTACCATAAAATAACCATAAACAACAGCTTTACTACATCCAAGGAATCCTCATTTAAATTCACAGTTTGTGACAGGAAAATACATCGATATAATTTTACAGAAATATCTATCTGACATAACGCTGCAGCTGTTCAATGTTTTCAGTAATCAAAGCTGTAAGTGTAAAGTTTGTTTTACACCAGATCTGTATGAAGACGAGCTAATTCCTCAACACAGCCTCCCCTGCATTCTTCCCTGCATCAGGCTGGTTACAAACCTGTGTGTTATTTTCTTAACTAACCAGCCTAATCTGTGTGTTTGATTTAATTCCTCATTTTTCAACTTTGTGCACAGTTTCATCTCTTAATAAGGACGGTTTATGTGAGGGATTCTGTTTTAAAACAATCTTGATAGTCATTTGCTATCCCTCTTTTTAGCTAACTCAGGTTTCCCAGTAGACCTACCTTTAAGCATTTTAAGGTGACTTTTGTTGAAAGTAGAGATTCACTAATTAGACTTGATGCTATTTAGCTTCATACTAATTGGATTTTTTTTGGTCTTGACGTGCCTGTGTAAATTCTCAGTTATTTGGGTCATTGCAACCACAACCGGGCTTAAATTGGAAGGCAACTGAACTTTCCCTCATTTCTTCTTCCTTCCAACTTAAGCCTGCTTGTGGTCTAGTGTTAACAGTACAACCCAACTCTATTTGTTGAAAGGACTCTGTGCGATCAAATTTAACAATATAATATTTGTAGATGTTAAAACTATAAAAAAAAAAAGCATGTAATATACGAAGAAAAGTTTTAGACATATATTAGATTATACTAGATTACACATTGTGGATTAACCGATCTATCTTCAAGCATCACACGACAACCATCACCAAGACTTCAATAATGGGGTTTTACTGGTTTTGGTTATTAACACGAACGCGACAGTGACTGCTGCAGCAGGACAGTAACACATTGTGGAAGTCACTGACTCATGATTTCCAGCCCAAAAAAGTTTCATAAACTGCCTGTATATATGAAATCTCATCCAATTTGAACCAAAGTCTATTGATCTCTTGGGCCATAAATCTAAAGAAAATTTTTTTTTACCCATAGACGGCCATCCTAAGCTGCCAGAGTGGGAAACATCCCAACCTGGCAACAATGCACCTAAGACGGGAGACGTTAGCCTTTAGATGCAAAACCCCATCATGCACCACAAGATATTTTTGCAAAATATTCCAACATAAATTCGGCAAATATAAGAGAAACATCGTAGTTTGGTTTAAAGAAAGGACGGGCTATATATACAGCATGCATCATTTACGTAGTTAACATTGTATTACTTCTTGAGCTCCTTGATTTATTTACTGTCACAGGTAGGAGCTTTGGCCGGAGAGTAAGTGTTGGGGCCGGTATGATTTAAGGAGGGCCGGCCCTTTCTGTGTCTGTGTCCGTTCTGTATCCCTTAGATCTTCTCAAAGATGGATTCACAGATCCAGCTTTCAATAAATAAACAACACCTCATCATGAGGCTCAGTTTTAACTTTAAGGCTGCTCTGTAGCACACTTTGCAGCTCTGTTGTCTTGCAGCAGGAAGGTCCTAACCTAGCTCGGAGTCTCATGTTTCCCTGTGCATGAATTGGTTTTCTGGGTACGCTCTCCCTTTCCTACTTAGGTGTTAGTGTCTGTTCCTGATTGTTTCTCTTTGTGTTGGGCTGCGATGTATAGGAGGTCAGGATGCACCCGACCTTTTTACCAATAGAAATCTGGATAAAGGAACTAACTCTCCCTGCAGCAGCGGACGGATAGACTATAATAGCTGGTAAAAAAAAGGGATAACAGTGGATTGACTTATTCTAACTCGAATTACATTTAAAATGTGCTGTTTGTTGATGTGTTTTATAGACTAGAGCATTTTAGAAGCATTCAGGTAACAGGAAGTAAATAAAAGATTAGTTATCATGTGATATGTTCATTAAAACACTGCATCATTTTAGCCACTAGGGGCACTAGACTTGTTACTTACATGTTTAAAGTCACTAAAAGCAGCGGGTAACACTGCGCCGTGGCAAAATAGAATAATCTCTTCAGGGTTTTAGACTCTGATATCAAACCACTTTGTACCACTTTGTATCCTTGTAAATTCAATCCAAATCAGGAAAGCAAAATATGTCTGATCAGCTAATATCAGATCTAGGGCTGAAACTAAAGATTATTTTGCAAATAAGTTAATCTGTCAATTATTTTTTTCGTTTAATCGATTAATAATCAAATGGCCAAAGATTCTTTAAAGGAGACTTTCTTAGAAATTAAACTCAAACTTTTCCACTTGAGGAGTTCTTGATAGAGGATATTGACAGACACATTTTTTTTTTTTTTATCTTGAATGCAAATGTTGATATATTTTTCTACAATCTCAATAAAAATTGCTGCTCTAAGTGGATTGCTCTGTCAGCTAAAAGCATGTTTTATAGTCTCTATACTCCAGTTAACGATTAATCGATTACTAAATTAGTTGACGATTATTTCAATAATCTATTAATCACGATTAATCCGATTAATAGTTTCAGCTCTAATCAGATCTGTTTTAACTTTTAGCTCAGTTTGCTCTCGTGTTTAAGCGGAGCTCAGGCTGCTGTAAAGTGGCGCTCTGGGTCACATGACTCATTCAGTGATGGATCCAACCCCCTCAATTTACAGTTGGGAGTTTTTGGGAAGAGCAGCTTAAACACGTGCTTAATATGATCATTGAATTTACCTCAATTTAGGTCAATACTGACTATTAGAACTTCTTTAACTATTCATCAACACAGAAACTTTACAAAATAAAACAAATTATCAATAAACAACAACTGTTGTTTATTGATAATGTCATCGAATCAGATTTAGAAAATATGTCCAAAATTTGGTCTGATTTTCTGGCAGTTCTCAGGAATATGGTTTAAATAGTTTTTTTCTTTCATTTATTAAACTGATTCCAACATGCGGCTCATTATGTCAAAATGTCAGACTCTCTTACAAGCAAATTTTCATATTTGATGGCAGATAAACATGTGTAATAAAGAAAATATTTGTGTTTGTCCATTTAACCGTCCCTTTAGTGTGTTTTTTGGATATGATATCAAACCCCTTAAGGAATATTTGCTGTAAATTCATAGGAAACTTTATTTTTTTATATTGGGATGGTTTATAAATGGGCTGAGAGCTTCGCTAGTTTCAGACTGGAAAGTTATGCGATTTGCTCATGAAAAATGCATAGGAAGCCTGGGGTTTGGAGGTACACCTGATGTTTAATTTATCCTTTTTTCAAGATTTACTTGGCTGAATGATGCGCTGAATAATAAAGCCTTCTGTTTATTTATAATGCAAACCAACTTTAAAAGTTCGATGCTTCAATACTGCTTGTTTTTTAAGAGAATCTCCGGGGTCATTGATGCCATCATGTGTCAGACATTTGAAAGCTGCACCTCTATAATTAGGTTCCTATAATCCCACTCTGCACTCGTTTTCAAAGTTTCTCTCTGTCAAGAGGTTCCCTGAGCGAAGAGCTGCATTCTTCCATAATGTCAGGCAGTTGAAATGTCCTAACTGGTCATTATCTGCCTAGCAATTTATGGCTTTTAAGCCATCAGGAGGTTAAATGGACTCCCTTTTCAGTGAAATATCCCCCGGATTGGAAAAAAAACAAAGCGTATGTGCTCCTCTCATATAATTAAGGTCACCCCGATGGCTTCTTTGCTGTTGCAACAGCTGAAAGCTTCACTGAAAGCCTTTTTTTTTTCTTTCTTCCCCATCGTCTTTTTCCAACTTTTCTTTCTTGCTTCTCCACTTCTGCTCTAATCAAACAGGCCGAGCCGGTTGACGAGAGCTCAGTGAAGAAAATGATCCTGACCTTTGAGAAAAGGTCGTACAAAAACCAGGAACTGAGGATAAAGTTTCCAGACAACCCAGAGAAGTAAGACCATCATTAGTGATGTCTTTTTATTTAAGGTTGCTGTCATATACCCCTCCCCTTTTTGTAGAATGCCTCACTTATGTGATGTAATCTTTTAAAACAGAGGTAACATTTCTCTCCAACTGTTTGTTTCTGATCAGGTTTATGGAGTCGGAGCTGGACCTGAATGACATCATTCAAGAAATGCACGTAATCGCCACCATGCCAGATCTCTACCACCTGCTGGTGGAGCTTAATGCCGTCCACTCTCTGCTGGGCCTTCTCAGTCATGAAAACACTGATATCCTTTTGAAACATTATTAAATAACACATTTTTATTGACTTCATTCAGCTCTATTAATGTTGGAAGAAATTGAAACAACTGTTCAGTAAAAAGTCTTGGCTGTTATCTCTTCCTGTTTTAGTAATTAAATGAAAATACATGTGAATAAAAGCAAATAGGATCTAAGGAAATTTAAGCATAGATAGTCTGTAACAGATCGTGTATATTGAATGCTTATGCTATCGTTTGGACATGCACAGAAAAGTGATCTGGAGACAGAGGTGTCTTTAATTTCAGCTGGATTAGAACCATATGCCACCAACGCGAGTTTTGACACCCTGATTAAGTTAGATATTTTAGTACCAATAATGTGTTTCAGAAATGACATCTGAGGAAGCTTAGAGATGGAAGAAGCTATTTAATATAATACTATATGTTAACCCTAAAGGGCTGGTTATACTCCCACAGCAGTGTGTCGCAGTGAGCTTGTCGCAGATATTTTTCAATTTATGCCCAATATTAAAGCATGTTATTCCACGCCACAACGCAAGAGGGACAATCATGAACTAGCTGTGGGTCTAGATACGGCCGAGGCGGTGAGGAAGTGGGGGCAAGTTTGTGTGACAACATGAGGGTGAAAAAGAGCGGGGATGCAGGTGTAAAAATGGTCCCAGCATTTTGGCGCACCTCGCTCTTCTAGCTGGTCCAACAGCATGAGTCATTTTCCACAACGTTGGTCATCCAAACAAAACAAGCCGGTAAGGTACCAAATAGGGGTATAAATTACATCCATTATGGCGATTCGATTCAGTATCGATTTCCTGACCCAACGATTAGATTATTTTTTGATACTCAAGAATGCACCACGATACGATTCGATTCGATTAATCAGTTAATTTATTTTTTTTTTTACACCTAAACAAAGTTTCAAGTTTGAAATAAATCAATAAAATCTGTAATATCGTTATGCATTTTCTTTTTCTTTTTTTTAGAAACAACAGCAAATAACAGAAGTAGAAAAGTTGCATCAAAAAATACTGCAAAAATACTGCACAATATCAGTGTAATGAGTTCAATGCAATACCTCGGCTCCAGACGTCCCCGCCCCCTCCACAGACGCTCCGCTGCACCTCTCCCAAATTGTAGCTGACCGCAAACAGCGCAGCAGACAGGAGGCCGGCTTGTTTTGTTTTTATGACCGAAATTGCGGAAAACAACTCGTGAAGTTTGACCCGCTAGAAGAGCGAGGTGCACAAGAACGCTGGGACCCTTTTTCCACCTGGATCTCCGCTCTTTTTGGCCCTCTTGTCCCTCTGTCGTCGGACTAAACTCACCCCCACTTTCTCTCCGCCTCGGCCGTATCTAGACCCACAGCGTGTAGCTCAGACCACGCTTCAATACTGAGCATAATTTAAAAATGTCTGTGTGAAGCTTGCTGCAACACACTGCTGTAAGAGTATAACCAAGAAGCGAGGTAGGAGGGCAAAATAGATTTAGCGCCGCCGCTTCATGGGAGGGAGAATTACGCCCAGGAGCTTTTGGATAAAAATAGACCGGAGGGAAAAAAAAAAACATGAATCGATACTCTTGTGGACGTATCGATGCATCGGATCATCGGTTGTTGGATCAATGCATCGATACAGAACGATTATTATTTACACCCCTAGTACCAAACAGGAAATATGTATAGTGTTTTCTATTCCTGTTTGGCTCTGACTCCATCCTGGAGAGAAATATGAGCTGTGCTGCTGCCATTAACACCTTTGTTATGGATGTTCGAGATTGGCCTGTTTTTCCAGTGTAGTCCTGTTTCTCTGACTATGACTGGGGGATGTGCTCTCTTCATCCTCTGAGCTGGCTCGGAGCTCGTCTGCCTGGCTATGTGTTTCCTGGATGGGGCCACCTTTTACAGCTGCTTTTTGTATCTCCTTAAACCCTAGTAGAACCCCCTCAGCAGATCTGCTCTGAGCCTGGTTCTGCTGGAGGTTTCTTCCTGTTAAAAGGGAGTTTTTCCTCTCCACTGTTGCTACAAGCATGCTTAGTGTGAGGGATTGCATTCGAGTCAATAAGTCAATGCAATCGACTAGTTTTCCTAAGATAGAAAACTTTGAATAGATAATCTGGTTAAACTGTAAAGTGCCTTGAGATGACGTGTTGTGAATTGGCGCTATAGAAATAAACTGAACTGAATTTAATTGAATTGTAGAGCGGATGTAGATTTGACCAATTAGAGGCCTCCTGTCTGCGGCACTGTTTGCGCTCACCTACAATTTTGGAGAGGTGCACCAGTTGGCAGGGGCGGAGGCACATTTGCGTTCACTGCGACACACGCACCCTGGTTGCTGAGTATAAATCGGCCTTAAGAGAGATGGAAACATCTAATGACTGCAGAGATGTTCTGGTTTAGTCTTTTAAACTGGTATTAACCTGGATTTGACATTAGTAGCTGCCTTTTTTTGAATCCTGAAGAAATCAAGAAAATACACATAAACAACTTTTGTTTTTGGATCATTCGTGACCTTTAAAATGCTATCTGCTAAGCTAAATTGGAGCGATGTCTGCTCACAATGGAGCAACTGATGTCTTCTGATAGTAACAAGACTAGAGAGAAAAGCTTTCAATTAGATTTTTTTTAATCTTTTAGTTTTTAAAAAGAGTTAAATAAAAGCATCTCTAGAGTTTTGTATTCGACCTTCTCCAGTGGCAGACTGGTTTTTGCTCAACTCCTCATACCAAGTGTGATGATTAAGGTTTGTGATGGAGTCACCTGACCTGAGCACCATGCTGTTGAACCCAGAGTCATACTTATGCCAGGTTACCCCAGAGGTAAATGTGAGACCATCTAATCGACACTTGATGCCTGGTTGGTGGATGGTCTAGAAACAGAATAATAAGCAGAAGTGAGTGTCTGAAAAGGGAAAGAGTGAGTGTGCTGCTGTGGCCCAGTTTGAATCCAAACCTGAGGATGATTAAATTGCTGCCTGAAAGCCCTTTAAAGCACAGGTGTCAAACTCTGGCCCTCAAGGGCCGATGTCCTGCAGCTTTCTGATGGGTCTCTGTCAATACAACTGAATCTCATCATCATTAGGACCTCAGTGGATGAGGGGAGGATTCAGTCCTCTGATACAGCTGTGTTGGGTTTGAGATGTTTTCAAACCTTTCCTTCGAGATTGAAGATCAATGAGCTGGAGCACCAGTGTTAAATGAGACTAAAGAAGTAGGTCACTATAAGTTATTGGTTTATTGACAAAACAATCATTCGTCTAAAACGTTTGCCAAATCCTGCTTCTGATATTAGTTTTATTGTTTAACTTTCTGATTATCCTATAATGAGATGTAGCAAATGCTGGGCTTTGATGAAGGGCTGAAAGCTACAGAACCACAACTATAGAAGAAGAAGCCAGGTCAGATTTATCAGGTCTGAATCTGTCTATTCTCCATAACTTTTAGTCTTGTTCTTTGTTCAATCTAATTTCAGAAAAGTTTTTTTTCTGCTGTTATTTGGTTCTTAACTCTTTAAAGAGACGAAGACTCTAGTCCCCCATCTGGTTGCTAAAAGCAGCTGATTGTTGGAGAAAGAACACTGAGGACAGGTCAACCATATTCTAGGCTCCTCCGTTCATTGAGATGAGAAACAGGATGTTCAGTGGAGCAGCTCCAGAATCCCATCTTGTTTCCGTAAAGCAGACAATGCAAGACCCAATTTAAGAGAAAAATATCTGATCAGTTTATCTAAGGCAGTTTTCTGGCCTTTGAACCGGCTGGTCCTTTGAGTATTTCCCTTTTCTTAGATTCTTCCAAAGCTTTAACAGTTTTGGGCGTGCAGGTGTCGCAGTGGTACGGAGGCCATAGTCCTAGATGCGGCCCCCCCGGGTTCGAATCCAGCCTGTGGTCCTTTGCTGCATGTCTCTCTCCCTCTCTCATACCCACTTTCCTGTCAGACTACTGTCGAGTTTGTTAGTCTTGCTTATTAATGCTCCATTTATCGATTTACTATTTGAGTCCTGATGTTTTTCTTCAACTGAATCCTCTGTTTCCTAAAGCAACTTAACAGGTCAAGCACTTCTTAATTTTGCTTTTAAACTTTGTGAGAAAATAATTAAATGTTAATTTAGGTGTAATAATTTGTAGCCATCCTGGGAATGTAATTAAAAAAAGTTTATGAATCTTATTTTTCTGAATTTTAACCACATGTTGCCATAGCTGTGGTGGACCTGCTGCAGGAGCTGACCGATATCGACACGCTCAATGAGAGCGAGGAAGGAGCCGAGGTCCTCATTGAGGCTCTGGTGAGTTTAAAATTTACGTCTGTCTTTGTTATTGATCACAGGACTCCTGTTGGATCAATACTTAAGTTTCTGGGCTTCTGGATCCAAAGCAGGCAGAGAAAAATGGATTATTCGGTCGTTGTTAATGAATGAAGAAACAGAAATTCTTCAGGCTCTCACCAACACTCAACATTTACTCTTTTTAGGAGTTTATATTATTGATTGAAGTCTTGTAAGGATTGGTTAATATAAATTTGTTCTATGTTCATCCTGCATTACATGCACCTAAGATCTGTGGCTGAAACGTGTGACGCTGCAGCTCTTGCTCAATTTATAGAGCGCCATAAAAACATTCTCTTTCCTCATTAATCTTCGTAGTTTCCTTCATACCTCTCTAGCTTTTATTATTTCTAATACGTTTCATACCCATTTTTAAGCTCTCTTTCATCCTCTTGTTCTTTATCTTCCGTCTGTTATACTGTCTGTGAACCAGGGAGACACCCACTCAAAGGGACATCAATATTTTTGATATCCCATTATGCTTTCTGACATTTACAGTGACACACACAAAGGTCAAACTGCAATAATGTGCGGTTATACCTTTTAATGGAGGAAGGAACTGAGCGGCGCCTTCTTCATTGGTGTCACCGAGGCTTTTCATCAGAGATGCTTTGGTTTGTCTCTCCCTGCTCAGACTGACCCCGTTTCTCCAATGTCTCACGGGTCTTTGAGCTTGGAAGCTGAATATTTTTCCTCTGTTTGTAATCAGTCAGCTCTGAATGACTATGTTTGGTTTAGCCACACATAGCCTTTTGTTGTTTTCAGACTACAGCAGTGACACCAGCACCCACGCCATCTTTAAGTTGAGCTAACCATTACAACTCATGTCTGTTATGTGTAACTTTTAAAATTGTCTGTCCTAAACTCACTGATCCAGAAAGTATCTTGTGTGGACAGTTTTTTTTAAATAGTTTGTGTTTTTAATCTGCCTTTAAATCTCTCTTGGCCTGAAAAAGTGTCATAGCCTAAATTATATAAAAAATATATAAAGAAATAATATATAAGAAAAAAATATTTTTTTCGTCTGTCCATCTGCTCTATCCAGAACTCCTCAAGTGGAAAAGTTGTAGTTTCCCCCTTGTTTGATTTTGCAAAAAATCTTCCAAGGAAGCTTTGGCTATCCCATTATTATTCGACTAATTGTAAAAATTATGGACAGATTTATCGATTTGTAAAATAGTCATTAGTTGCAACCCTAATCTACCGTATTGGCTAGAATATAAGACAAGGTTTGTTTTGTTAAAACTATATGAAAATGTGGGGTGGTTTTGTATTTGGAGTCTAACCAATTTTACAGGTTGACAGTTGACCAGGGTCGCTGCACGAACGCTACAGCTAAGGGCGCCAAGTTTTTGTAAAGCCATTGACCTCGCTGTGGCTGGGGTCATCTTTCTATCACAAAAGAGAAGAAGTGATAAGGATGCTACAAATTTAGAGTCACTGCCCAGAACTTAGTGGATCAAAAGTCAGACAAGTTTGCAGATTTTGAGGCAGAGGCATGCATGTTTTTGAGACGTTCTGTGTGCAAAGTAGTGTTGCACCGATGCCATTTTTTTGGCACCGATACCCGATACCTGGCTGTGCAGTATCGGCCGATACCATAATAATGTAAAATAATTGCCGTCATGGCTTTGTCAAGCTGCTGCCTACCTTTGTGAAGCAGGAAAAAATCTAATAAAAAGTGAATCAAGTAGAACTTTTTATTACCTACCAGGAGTGGGTGACAATAGTTGAATAAACTTATGGCTCTCAAAATGGTATCAGTGCCCTATTTGTTGGTACTCGCCGATACTGATACTACCATTTTAGGGCAGTATCGGGGCCCCGTCCGATACTGGTATCGGTATCAGTGCAACACTAGTGCAAAGTTCAGATTGCATTTGAGAAGTGTTGCAAGATTTCAATTAAATGTGTCATTACTGTTTTTTTTTTATATATGATAGTTTTATTGCACAATATTAATGTCAATGTAATTGTTAGCACTTCAAATGGTAAATACCCGGTACTTATATAGCACTTTTTTCAAGTCAGAAGACTTGACCAAAGTGCTTTACACTTCATTCACACCCACAATCGTACAATAAGAGTGGCAAGCTACATTATAGCCACAGCTGCCCTGGGGCCGAGGCTACTGTACATTGGCGGCACCTGGCCCTTTGACCAAAAGTAGGTGAGGTACAGGTTAGGTATCTTGACCAAGGGCCCAACGACACTGAAGAAACCAGAGCCCGGGCTCGAACTGACAACCCTTCTGCCACCATATATATACAATGTAAAATAGTGTCTTAAAATAGTCTTTTATTTATTTTTCTTTTTGTTTTGTTCCTATAAACTGCTCCTGGAAAGAGGTGTTCGTCTTAAAATCAGGGTCGTCCTGTGTTCGGATCAGTATGGCAGATCTACAGCATCAAATCTGAATTCTCAATTGGGCAGCTATATAATACACTATATAATGGCAGCTATATAATGTAAAAAGGGCAATGAAATTCCCCCTTTTGCTTTTACTTAACTGCAGAATTTGATATTTTGTTCTTGTTTGTTTTCTTAAAATACATATCTTGGTAATTTCTCCCATTCATCAATTGGAAGTTTCTGGACCAAAAACAGTATCATCCGCAGAATGTTCATCTTAAGAAAGCGGCCCTCGGTTGATTTATTACTTCCCAATCATCCAGCAGGAATAATCAGACAGTAGATCAAAAAGGTAAACAGGTTCTTATACAGATATTACATTCTCTCTGCGACCAAGGCGTTTCCTTAGGACAATAGCAGAGACATCAGCTCAGCTAGCTCTGCCATCTTCTCCAGGTGGAGGCATAATATAAACTCAGTCCATTTACCGTCCAATGGGGCGCTCTATAACCACACTGTTCCTCACAGCTTCTTGAAAGGGATGCCGTTTTAGGGCAGCAAGCTCGGTTGGTTGATTCCATTTGTCTCCTCTGTGTTGCTGTAAACTCCTGCAGCTCTGGTGTCCTTGCTGCCAGAAGGCCAGGTGTTATCCTTGATAAGATAAATCAAAGTGATTCAGGGCGGTCTCTGCGGCGTATAAATCTGCTCTGGCTGTCCATCTTCTTTCATCTGTAATAGTACTTTTATATAACCTGCCGGCAACCCACAATCTTTGTTTGGTCGTAAGTCTCAAATCTCGACTTGACTGATAACACATGCTTCCTGTCGCAGCTTCTCTGAGTACGTCCAAATGTCCTCTGACTGCAGCTCGACCCTAAAAGGGAAACTTCACTGTTTTTTGTCATGTATATTTTGTTCCTCTTTGTTTTTTTGTTTGTTTGGGTACAAAGATCTTTTTTGATGCAAGGATAAAAAAATAGGTGCCATTCAAAAATGATGTATAAATCTATCCATGGAGGAAATATTTAGTAAAGGAGGCTGTGTAATTAATTAATTAATCAATATATATGTTGCTCCTACACTATTCTCCTCTCTGAAGTACAGAAAATGCTCCATGGTAGGACAAAACATAAGATCTTTATAGTAGTGTGGGAAGGATTTTTGGACCTAAAAGACATGCGATGGTGTAGGTCAGGGGTCGGCAACCCAAACTGCTCAAAGAACCATATTGGACCAAAGAAACAAAAAACCAAATCTGTCTGTAGGCGCTAAAATGTAAAAGTCTTCTATAAGCCTCGTATGGCAACACGGGCTCTAAGTGTATTATCCCACTATAGAAAAGGACTACGTGGGTTTAAGTATATAGTAAGCATTGATGATTAAATGTTTATCCTGGAGCAAATTCACATGCCTGCATCAGAGCGCTATCCGTTTGATCTGTAGACGTTTTTTCATGCTTGAAACCAAACTAGCAGCAGTAGTGGAGTTTGTAGATGCAATCCACTTCTTAAATTTACCTTTGCTCTCCTCTATTATTCAGATGTTCTGCAGTCGCATTCTTTCTCTCACTCCCAACTTTGTGATTGCTGCATATTTAGCCTTCAATGGAAAAGCCTTTCCAAATTACTCTTTATTATTTGACAAATTCTCATGCCAAAGCAAAAATGCAGGCAGTCCTTCTGCATTGATAATGAAAGCAAATGATTCGGTCCATTCTTCTTTGAATCCCCTGGTCTCATCAGGCATCTTCCTTTTTTTTCCCCCTTTGGGATCCATGGCCAGAGACACACCGGCCGTTTTCTTTGCCTGGCACTGCGCCACGCTGAGACGTGTTGCAGGCTTTGACCACTGACCTCTAATGTTTACAGATATTGTTTAAATTTATTTATTATACAAATTTTTAGAGCATTTGAAAACATAATGAATGTCAGTTTGACCTCCTGCACACCATATTAAAATAAATATGCCAAAAAAAGCTATTTTTCTTAAATGAAAAAAAGGAGCAATGTAGGGGTTAAGGGTCTTGCTCAGAGAGCCAGAATGGCAGTTGTGGGAGTGGGTTTTAAACTCACAACCTCAGGATTCCAAGCCCTATGCCCTAACCACTAGGCTGCCTCTCCCACATGTAGAAATTCACTTTCTGTATTTAACCCATTCCATTTGGGGAGCAGTGGGCTGCCATTGTACTACACTCGGGGAGCAATCGGGGGGAGGGCAAGGGTTTTGTTCAGAAACCCAGGGTGGCGGTCTGTGGGAGTGGGTTTCGAACTAACCCTAACCCTAACCTCAGGATTTTAAGCCCTATGTCCTAACCACTATGCCGTCAAAAAAAAAAAAAAAAAACAGGAAAAAAGTTTGTCTGCATCGCGGGATCAGAGTGAGGCAAATTGTTAGAACCACAACCCTGTTGGAGTTCATATTTCCTAACAATATTTACTATTTTCATTATTTGATATTTGATCACAACAGCATGTTCATGTTGTCGTTTTTCTGTATCTCTATCTTTGTGTGCAGCATGAGGGTCAGGTGGTGGCTTTGCTCGTGCAGAACATGGAGCGGCTTGATGAACAAGTGAAAGAAGAGGCTGATGGCATCTACAACACGCTTGGTAAGGAAATGTTATCAAATGTTCCACAGTAAACAAGCTGCCTCACATCATCTTTCACTTGATTTATGATGTCGAAACACATTTACATATCTCTGCAACTCTAAGTTATTTTCCTCAGAGAGCAATTAGTTTTAACTGCAGGACATCAGGAACGGACAAGGACAAACGCTTTAAAGACATTTTGCACATGTTGCTTTTGGAATCTTCTCCATTACATTGTCCATATGTTTATTAAGAAAAGTAAATGAAAGTGAAAAATATATAGAAAATCCTCAGAATGTTATTTAAAAACTGCTGGAAATGCCACAGGGATGTCGCAACTTATTTCTTCTGGGGTCTGTTGGAAACCAGCACAGCATAGTTTATAAAGACCTCCCCAATAACGGCAACACTGATGGGTTAAGCCTTCCCCAATATTTGTCTGTATGAGGCTTGATTCCTGTTTAACTTGTCTGCGAGGTCCAGGCGGCCAAGTTATTCCATTTTAGCTTGACTGGGAGGAACATGGCGGATAAGCAACAGCTGCTGCTGGCGAGGATTCACAAATGTAAACTTGTAGAGACAGCTTAGAATTAAGCCAATGGATATCATGACGACCAACCGATTCTAAAAGTCTCTTGGAAATAAATTACTCTCACTATTAAATCACACAAAGAGGCTTTAATAAAAGATGTTTTCCACTTCTTCCTGTAGTCTGGTGTTATAAGCTTGGGGCTTGTGCTATCCACGCCCCAATAGACCAAACTAATCAGCACAATACTAAGTCCGTAACTTATGATAAGAGGACTTAAATATTTACACTTCCCAAATGTAATCATAGAAAACAAAACCAAATACAGAAACCTAAACCCTTCCTACACCCCCTCTAGAAGTAAGTGGAAGAGTCCAACTAGGCCTCCATGTCATTGAGGAGATTCTTCGCAGCTTGATCTTCCTTTCCTTTACTGGCCTCACCCACATGACAGCCTCCCAGGAAGTAGCAACTCAAATTACAAATATATTAATCTACAGAAAACCAAACAAGCAAGAAATGACTAAATGAGTCAACTAAATGTGTGCACCCAAATAGTTAACAATGCCAAATCAAAGTAAAAAAAAGTGAAATACAGTACAGTAAAATATAAGAGATTTATTTAAAGGAAAGAATTGCCAATCATTTGTTGTGTGGTTGCATATGCGACCATCACACAAAGGTTTCCACACTTTTACAGTCATCCAGGAGTTTGTTCCAGAGAAAAACTAGAAGTTGTTTCTCTGTTTTGGGTTCTGGGTATGCAGAGTAGACTTGAACTAGAAGACATAAGAGTTTGGGGTGGTTAATGCACTGACAACAAGTCTGATGTATTTTGGTGTAAAGTCGTTCTGTGATTTGTAGACAAACAAGTCATTTCTCTGAGATATATGGAGCCGGTGGAAGGACTTTCGAACTGGGGTGATGTGCTTCATTTTCTTAGTTTTAGTGAAGATGTGGGCAGTGGCGTTCTGGATCAGCTGCAGCTGTCTGATCCACTTTTTAGGCAAACTCCTGAAGAAACCATTGCAGTGATTGATTTCACTTAAGATGAAGGCATGAAAGGTCCTGTTGAGACCTTAGTTATTTATTGCTGGAGACATTCTTTAGGTAATAAAAGGCAGATGACTTGATTAATGTCTTTTTGTGAGGGTTTAGTTCTGAATCCATCACTACACTCTTATTTTGTATCTGATCAGGAGTTTTTAAATAACGCATTTTGATAACTTATTATTGCTTTCTCTTTGGTCCAAAATGGTCCAGAATTTATATGAGGTGGTTCATAGTTGGGATGGCTATTTATCTATTTATCATTATGCAGATACATTTCTAGGCATGAGAAGATGTTTGATTTATCTTCTAAAAGGTAAATTGGAATAAATTATGTTTTAAAAACAAATTGTCTTGAGTAGTATTAGTGATTATGAGGCCATGTTTGCTGTGCCAATCAGTCCTGGCCACACAGTTCTGTAAGAAAGTCTGCAAAGAAGTAATGAAGCTTATTTTGTCATAACTTTTATCTTTATACCAATAGTACCACAAAATATCATGATCAGATTTATCATCCATATTGTCCAGCCCAAATTTATAGTGACCCAATGACATTGTAATATATGTGTAGTCTGCATATTTTTTTTATAATTTTACATGTTTGTTATAATTTCATCCCAACTTTTGAATTAAATTTGAGTAGCCCAAAATAGAACTCAGGGGAACCCTGCATATGAAAGATTTTTGTCTGTGGTGCCACTTCTGGTCCTGCAACTTTATTCTTACTGTCTTTATTCTTGTCAACTTTATTCCTGGTCTTTATATTTTTACAGTTATGAAAATAAAACCCTTTTTTTTTTCTTTAAAGCAAAGCCTTCTGATCCTTTGGCATCCTGTTTTTGCAGAAAGACATTTATATATTTCCAATATTTACATTGGACCTAATTTTGCTAATGTGAGTATGGCAAAAAAAAAAAAAAAAAAAGGATTGCATATGGATTTCAGGGCCATTTTCCCACACATTTTGGAATTTTATCAGTTTGATAATAAGCGTAGAATACAATCAAGTCCAGTGGCCTTTAATTTTGTAACCAGGTTCATGTCATTGTGGAACTGATTTCCAAAACCATCTTTGTGCAAAATGTTGTTTAGTAGCATAAGATTTAAGGAAATGTATTTGTGGTTTATGTCTAATGACAGATTTTCTTCATCTTTCTGCATTGAAACAAACCAAACTGGTGACATAAATGCTCTCCAACAGACTGTATAACCAACATTCATGTTTTGAACTAAATTCCATAGATGAGAAATGTAATGTGTTTTGACAGAGCGTGTCCAGTTGCTGCAGTCATTCTGTTTTATTCATTATTTCATAGTTTATTGACATTCTAGACAGTTTCCTTTTGTTCAGCCTATGCTGTACATCCAATATTTGAGCTCAGAATATATTTTGCACAGCACTGCAGTGGTGAAATCTCTCTCCACAAAGGGTTGTGAGTGTTAGCTGGGCTTTTGTTTCCATGGAGATTCTCTGTTTGCCTTTTTGGGTTTTACCTCGGTGCTCCACCCTGCAGTCGTTTTGGTATTTTCTTGCAAAAACTCTGAGTAATATGGATTTCCTTTAAAAAAAAACTTGATAGAACCTTGCATATCTGTTGTGGCTGAAATACATTCTCCTGCACTGCTCTCATATTTATTGAGATTATTGCTGTCTTACTTTAAGTATTCCATTATTACTATTCTCTGCTGAAATCACTGAAGTGTTTTCTCTTTCTTTTTTGAATCTGTGAAAAATCTGTTTTAGCAGTAATGCATATGTGCATGACAGGAATATGAGCAGAATGAAAGCTAAATGAGCTCATATGTAGATGTTGTGATTTAAATGTTAAACTCGAGTATCTCTGAGCTATCTGGGGCAGTCGCTGCACACAGCAGGTTCCTGCAGTGACTCCAGTTCTTTACTGCATAATGGATAAAAATAGCTTGCTTGAATATTCTGAACAATTGATGGGTCTGACCTTGTTTATTACAGAAAAAATTGCCTTTAAGCAGAACATGAACAACTGTCTGAGGTTTGGAGACGGCACTGACAGGAAGCCCTTCCTGATTTCCTTTTTCCTGTCATACAGCAGAGTTAGAAAAGCCTCTTTAGTAGCCTTCCAGGTTTATGAGCTGCTATGAGGTTCCTGAACATTCTTACTAAAAATACTCTTATTATTATTTTGTTTTGTTTTGAAATATATCTATATAATATAACACACAAAGCTGACACATTTCCTCAATCCTGAAATCTCTATCCTCACTTAGGCTGTGGCCAACTACCTAAAAAGATAACCCTCTTTAGAGCAAAGTCTATGTTACCTGTGGCAAGAGGAATTTTAATGCTTTTTAGGGGCTCGGCATGAAGCACAGTTAAGGTGTGTTGCACGTTTTCGTTTTTGGCAACCAGAGCAACAGATTTACATGTTATCCTAGCAGGATGGTTATGGGTCCTGGTCAGATGAAAGCGACTGCATTTCAGCTGCACCTTGATTCTTATCTTCCCCTAAGTATCTGGAGGATCCACTGTTCTACTTTCCATAATGAATAAAGCACCATGACTCACTCTGTAAAATACGCTATACTTAGTGGAAACCGGCAAGCAGCAGATAGAAGCTCCTTATAATGAAGCAGCAGGAGTGGAGCTTGCTACCTGCAAGCATATTTTGGTTCTAGAAGTTGTTGTGAAGAGTCAGTGGATGTAGATCCAGCTTTAAAGTCGTAGGGATGCGGCCATTCCAACCGTTGCAGTTTCGAATTATCCCGACTGGTGCCCGACTTTACACGAGTGAATTAAGTGAATTTGATTGGTCGTTTATCAAGAGGGCGAGGTTGTTTTGGCGGAATGTTAGCAAGCAGGTTTGATTGTGGCTGATGTCTTGGAAGGATCTTGCTAACCAGTTAGCAACTTAGTGCTAGTAGGTTCCCAATGGGAAATTCCATTGGGACCAAGTAGCACTAAATTGGTGACTTAGAAACGACACTGTCAAGGAACGCTATGGACAGAGGAAACATGCAAGAGGAGGAGAGTTTAGTATCGGAGGTCGTGGATGAGTCTCCTCCGTCATACATTTTTCTATGTAGAGGAGGAAAGAGGGGACGTAGTTGTTGTGGAAGGGGACGCCAGGGCGGTAGAAGCTTTGTTTGGTGTAGAAGACTTCAGAATCAGACATACTTTAATAATCCCAGAGGGAAATTACTTTACAGCCGTACATGTTTGAGCCCTTGCCTCGCAACGCTGCCAGTTCTGTTAGCTCTACGCCTGCTGAAGACACAGACATCCATCCCTGTGAACACTTGGATACTATTTCTTATTTCAACCGTTGCGTATATTAGCTGTGAATCAAGATGCTATGACCGAAACAATTTGATTGACAGATGACCGTTCATATATGATTGGCCGAATTCAGGTGTACAAGATGACGTTTAACTAACTGGCCATGCGTAACAAAATGAAAACCCCCCCACAGATTTTAAGACAGGATTTTTTTTTTTTAAATAGAATTTTTCTCACTTTTGGGACAAAATGGTCTGATAAAGAGTACATTTATATAAATGTTTAAGCCAGAGTGATTTGACATTTTAATTTGACTCACCTACGACTTTAAGTTCTAGAGCTGTAAATCTGATGTGGCTCTTTCTGTCAGAGCTGACAAAGCCTACTTTTTCACGTGTTATGACTGATATTTAATCTTTTAAATGTTACTTTTGTTACTTCCATCTTTCACTTTTTTACTTTTTTTGTGCAACACCTTGAGATAAAGCATCATCGTCAATTTTCTTTAAATAATTATGTCCATTATTACCTCAAGCTCTATGGTTAAAATCCTGTCTTTTATTGCTACGTTTAAACCGTCAGTAGGTGATTGGCTGAACCTGTTTGCACATCTTGTGCTTTACATAGTCTTGTAGATTACCTGTAACCAGCCCTCTTCATGTAGATATTTAATCCCTCACACAATTTGGTGAATTTTATTTGCACTCTTTTAAGACCATTGCCTTAGTGTGCAAAATATGTAGGCAAGTAGCTTTTATTTATTAGCATTTTGATGGAAAGAATGGTATAGAAAGATGGTCCTGATCCCAGAGTCTAGTGAATTTTTATAGTGATGCAGACAAGTTTTCATTTTCTAAAATGGAATAGAATGGAGATTACCAGCAGGGGCAGTGTAGGACCACATAGTCATATTAACAGATCTTCTTTTCATATCATCTGAAATGCTGATGTCGTTCAGAATTAATGTCGATATTAATAATGCTCAGTATGACCATAATATGGATAGAGAAGTACTTTGTCTGTATTCCCTGTTAGATGGGGCTTAGCTAAAAACTTGGAGGGCTAAGATTTGTATTTTGGGTTAAAAAGGTCCTCCCTTTAAAAAGAAAAAAAAAGTAAATATAAACACAAGGTCTAGAAAAGGGCATGGGCCAATAGAAGGTCTGAAAAGTACTGGCTGCTGTATTTAGCCTCACATCAATCAGTGTTTTCTGCCCCTCAGCTCTTTTTGTGTTGAATGAGTCCACTGAGATGATTTCTCTCTCTTTGTTGCCAGAATGAGGCTGCGTGTCAGGAGGGCTGTTTAGGTGTGTGTATTTGGCTCTGGGTATGTGGCTTTCATCGTGGGAGCAACACTTGTGAATCCTCTGAAGTTCTGTGTGTGTGGATGTGTGTGTGAGAGAGTTATCAAGGGAGCTCTCCAAGCTTGAATAAGCCTTTTGTCTGCCTTGGCTGTTTTCTGTTCTGGGCCTGCTCTCTTCCATGATGCTGTCTGCTCTGTTTGAATCCTTGATAAAGGGCCTTGCCCCCCCCCCCTCCTCATCTCCTCCCCTGTTGTTGTTTCTCCCTCATATCTCTATCATCTGTAGCCCATCTCTCCAGATGTTGCTTTCTGGCTTTTTTCTCCCTTCCTGTCGTCTCTCCTCTCGCTCATTCCTGCTGTCCCCTCATTCCCTCAGTTGCTCATCCCTCCTTTTTGACTTTTCCAACACCCCTTTTCCCTCCCTTTTTCTTCCTCTCTGGTTATTTCTTTCTCCGTTTTCGCCTTTGTTCCTGCATCCATTTAGACTGATGGATGCATGACTTGCAGAGACGGACCTTTGGAAGCAAAGAATTACCACATAAGTTGGGGGAAAAAGCGCGGAGAGAAAAATCAGATTTGATATAGATTAGTCACACTCAACTGATACTTGATACGCTTAATAAGATCAGTTTTGATCTGGAATTTCAGATTGCAGTTTCCATCCTTCCATCTTTTCTCTCTGAGCCTTTTCCACTGTAAACAGGCTGCACCCTACACTGAGGATCTTCAGCAAAAACATCTTGCACAACTTTCTTGCAAAACCATTTATTGTTACATTTAAAGACCAATCCATCCTCCGTTCCTTTTTACATTGATACAATATGCCAACAATACTCCAATATCACTCTTTCACAGTATTAACACTATGATTAAAAATATATAAGCTACATTTCCAGATGCATTCACTCATCCCTCCAGATTATAAAAGGAAAAAAGCAGAGCAATAACTCCAGTCAAGAAATGTTCTTGTCTCCAAATAGGGATGCACGATATAATCGGCCCCCTATCGGTATCGGCCTGTATCGGCCTTAAAACTGAATATCGGACATCGGCCACCCCACCGATATTTAACCCGATATTTGATCAGCTTCTGAGTTTCTATTGTCTATTAAAAAAAAAAAATAATACTACTTCTTCTTCCT